AATCACCTCCTATTCTTCATCATTTGAAGAAGACAAACAATAAAAATGTAACGATTAAATCACCTCCTATTCTTCATCATTTGAAGAAGACAAACAATAAAAATGTAACGTATAAATCACCTCCTATTCTTCATCATTTGAAGAACGACAAACAATAAAAATGTAACGTATAAATCACCCATATTTTCGAACTAATCCAAAAGTACTCTCTTTTTTTTTATTGTGTAACAGCCCATGTTTCACACCGCTGGAACTTAAATTTCGTATATAGTATCACCAGGAAAATGCCCAGAAATAAAGCTCACTGACTGCTATAAAGTGGAAACTGTTATATGTGTGATTATTTCTTATATTTGACTGAACTAATGAGCCCAGAAAATTCTCTGACAAGTCCATGACTATAGTTATAAGAAAGACAAGGACGCTTGATCCTACGCTGAATCAAGAGAAATATTTGACCGCTCGAGGCGAGAACTCACGTGTTTTGTTTCAACTTACGTTGAATAAGTTTCAAGTCAGCGTATCCTGAACAGAGGCGACATTATTTCTAACGACACGGCTAATCAGTCGTTATATTATGACACAAGGCATGACGGAGGTGGAAAATATAATTTCTATAGATAAGGGTCAGGCTTGAGCTAATGGTTAGCGTGAACCTGAAGGTCCAAAGTTCTCGTCCCGTTGCCGAAAAACCACGGTTCGCAATTTGGGGGCCACAGGTGCGTTAGATGATTAACAGTCAAATCCAACTATTCAATAGATCAGCCCAAGAATTGGCGATGAATGGTGTTTATTAGCTACCTTCTCTCTATCAGTTCAAAATTAGGGCCAATTTGTGCAGATTGTCCTCAAACAAACAAAACCATCGTTATGTTTACGTTAAAACCTTTCCTTCGTACAAACACACTTGCAGGAAACAGAACTTTGACTGTTTCAGAATAATTATTTGTTCAGTTCCTTCCTCTTCAATCCATGATCAGATTTTATTATGTATGTGGTTTTAGGAATTGGTAATATTTAGTATATTAATAAAAATAAATTAAAATTCAACTTTATACTTTGTTTCATCTTATGTTTAACATTTTCTATATATGAACACTTCCCAACTGACACACACACACACTAAAGGTCAAATTTTACAGTTGGCACAGTAAACGTATCTGGAAAATTTCTACCTTTGGCCTTCAACCTTCTATTTCAACATTTAGCATAACCTAGCCAAAAGGAAAACCCTATAAACACTTGTGAAGATACAAAAGTATGTTTCTTTCACATCCCAAAATTCTAAACAGTTCAAAAGTAGTAGTTTTGTTACATACTGATTGTTTTACAATAATTAATTTTTACCTCAGTTCAGATAGTCAGTCTTTCAAGAACTCAATCCTTTCTATTTCACTTTTGTCAGTAATTTATTAGCTGACAATTGTAGTGTGATTAATTTTATCAAAAATTCAAATTTATCCAACATTCGAAGATCTTAAACTTCTGAAGCACAGTAGAGTTTCGCTATAGTAAACTTGGGCTTGTTTTAACCAAATAAGCAAATATTTTCAAAAACCTGTTCACTACTTACTATCAATGGCTGGACCTGCAACATAATTAACAAAACAGAGAAACTTAAGACTGACCACATTACTCTCTACTCGTTGAAACTGATGTGACATGTCAAAGTTTCTTTTTTTTAAACTGAATATACATATATTTTAAAATAATTACCAACTCTTTGTCTGTGAAATGATGTTCTTTGTCCTCAGACACTCCCAGACTCTTGCCTCACCCCTACTGTCTTGTCTAAGGTCCAGTGTCTGGGTTAGCTCCATCTGCATGCTTTTCATAATTACGTTCTTAAGTAGCACCAGCACACAGACGCTAGTCAATAAACAAAGACACGTTAGCAAACACCTTTTTTTTTTGGAGGGGGGGGGGACCCTTACACAAGATAAGGCCTTTGTCAGTAGAATATGCTGATATCATCTTATTACGATTAAAAAGTAAACACACTAATACTAAATGTTGACAGATATTAATATCAAACCCCTCTACAGCTATTTTAAAATATTCAAGTTTAAATGAAACTCGTGAAAATTTTAAATACCACAGAGACCAATGTTTATTAGCACATGATAAATATTTAAAAATAATTGTCCCCAGTCTCAAAATCTAAAACATTCACATAGAAACCTACTGTATAATGTACTCCCAATGAAGTAAGACCAGTGTTTTGTCGAAACATGTAGGACGTTTCCCCACTTCATTATTATGCTTATAAATATTTTTTTATCAATTTATTATCATATTAGCATAATATGTTTCCATACACGAGTATGTATTATGTATGACTCAAGGCTTTTATCCTTATACAGTAAATTACTTAGTGAATGTTTTATTGTATTTTAAAACTGAGGACAATTTCGTTTTTACTATTCATTGTATACTAATAAACTTTGGTTTATTTTAACAACTGTGGAACTCAGTGTAGAATATATCTTTTATTCATGTCGCTTTTCTAAAAACAAAACAAAAACTAACCGTGGCAGTAATTTAATTTGAAGGAAGAGAAAACAAACTTTATGTTTGTCTGCCCTTCCCAACTAAATTTTCAAGCAGGTGTTTTATGTGTAGTTAACGTCTTCCTAACAAACCGGATGTAGAAAGGTCTAAACTTACACTAACCCCCTTTCTTACAGAAAGGTCACATTTTTACCACGGATACTCGGTGGTAGCTTGACCCTGCGTTAAGCCCCCTGGTGTGATGTTAGTCCATTTTGAGAGGTGATACAGATACTTGTGGAACATAAGCTGTGGGTACACTTAAGTCAGGTGAAAAGCTATCACTAATTTATGTCTATGGCAGTTATTTTGGTGTAAAGTTAATAGTTTAGGGTTATTACTCTGTATAAGATTTGCTGAACCTGTATATCGCGGCTACGTGATTTATTTCTGGCTAAGTGATATATTTGAATCTGCAAGTGAATACTACTTAATCTTCGAACACTCTTGATGATTATTTCGTTCGAATTAATTAATTTTACATCAAAATAACTGCCGGACGAAGGACTACTGGTACTACATATTAACTATTACTATTAGTTTCAACTTCAACTGTAAAGTCTTAACAATAAAAGACTGAAATAGGTGTATTCCTTAAGCCTTAACAGTAACACTACAAATTACAATCAAACACAATCTGGTGACGGCGGCCAAATAATGAAATACAGAGAAACTTATCGCAGGTTGTGTGCTACACATTTTACATTCTAGGTCAAAATTAAGTCTCTAGTTCTGCGTTAAAACTTAAATATATATATATATTTACCATTTTGCTCATAAAGAACATAAAACAGAAAAAGCTATAACCATAGAAACAGATTTTTATTAGTAAACGCATATGTCTCAGTCAAGGTCAAGTTTGTACTATGCTGCGTTCTCGAACCAAAATATGAAATAGGCTCATCATGAAATGTTTCTATCCTAATGGTAATGCCATTACTATGATTAGTAGGCTAAAAAATACACTACGGATTAATAACGTAATAATTTAAAATATTTCATATTGTTCAAAAAGATTTCTACATACAACAGTGCCCACTCGCCCTTCCACGACGCTCGTGTTAGTTTTACCTCTTTATTCCTAGAGGGCACAACCGTCGGAGGTTAGTTTCCTTATTGTTTTTTTTTCATTTGAAATTATTGCCTGTATCTATATTTTCAAATTATATCTGTAAATAATGTTTAAGTAAGTGTTCTCGTGATCTCATTTAGTATTCAAGTTGTAAGTCAATTTCTTATTTACATTTTTTACTATATTTTGTAATTAGCTATAAAGTCGCCCATCAGTGGCACAGCGTTATGTCTGCGGACTTATAATGCTAGAAACCGGGTTTCGATACTCGTGGTGGGCAGAGCACAGATAGCCCATTGTGTAGCTTTGTGCTTAACTTCAAACAATAGCCATAATTAAAAGCTATAAAGTCATTTTATTTGTGTACAAATTAATACTGAGAAAAAATTAACTGCAGTATTATTGAGGAAAAGGGTTAAAACTATATTATAATCTGCTACATAATTATTATCTTGGTATACTATTAGATAGCTTGATATTTAGGTGCATTATGTTGACTAATTCATTTTATCTGTAAGTCCGATGACGAGGAACCCACTTTGAGACTAATAATGGCTGGAGACGGCTTGAATGGGTAATGAAGAAAAACTTTAATATAACAGCAAATGTACAACGTTTCGACAAGGTTTTGTCATCATCAGGTACCAATGTTATATTAAAGTTTTCTTCATTATCCATTCAAGCCGTCTCCAGCCATTATCTGTAAGTTGTAATGTAATATAAAATATGGATGTTAGCAGGAATGGTAACTCGAGAAATGATAATGATCTGATTGTATATGTTGTGTCCCTAATGTATGTTCGGGCCCGGCATGGCCAGGTGGCTCGACTCGCAATCTGAGGGTCGCGGGTTCGAACCCCCGTCACACCGAACATGCTCGTCCTTTCAAAAAAGGAAGGCTGTCAAGTGGGTTGCATCCTTGACGTAAGAAACAGCATTAGAAACGATGGCAGAGCAAGATCTGCCATCGGCTCAACGGTCTATGAGAAAAAAAAATGTATGTTCGATGTCGTTTGAACAGATTTAGATATATGCTGAGCGTTCTCAAAAAAGTATTTAAGTCTGCAAAAGTAGGAGATTCTAAATAATCAGCTCAACAACACTGAAGCAGTTGTTTCACTTTTAAATAAAGAAAACGTTTTATTGATCATTTAAAATAACACGCAATGTCACTTTCTCTGTATAAGGCAACTGGCATGACACAACCGAATTAGATGATATATATGTATAGTAGAGACGGCTGGTATGGATATTAAAAACTTTTATTTAAAAACGAGTAACAACACTCTTGATTTGATGATGACCTAAGGAAGTCAAAACGTTGTTACTTGAATTAGATTATCACCAAGTTAGCCCTGACTTAGGAAATAATGGCGATTCTGACTAAATAGTAACTTTGTTTGCAACTTTATTCAAAAGTAACTTGTGCAATGACTTCTTGAAATACGATGTCACCCTCTTCAAGAGACTAATCTAATTATTCAAAAAGAAAAATCAGAGGTTCCAATGTCTCTATCTCTGGATATGTCCAGCACGCCGAACGCTGTAAAAATGCAATTACCAAGAGTACAGGCTACATGCTGTCACAAACGTTCACACTTGCACTAATCCTGACCAGCTCCTTCCTAGACATGATCCGTTGAAGGTCACAGCAGGCCACATCCGTTTAGGTAGAACATCTAAGTACAGCTAACCTGTGTTAAAATTACTTAAATAAGATATGTTCGTTTTCAAAATTATGAAAGTTACAACCATAATATTTGCACAAGTTAAGTCACGTTAATAACAGTACTACAATAAAATATTCTTTTATGGCATAAAAATGACCTTGAAAAAAAAAAGGTTCTCCTCTCCCATCTTCCATTTGTGGTATGAGTCATAACATGTTTTCCTATCGTCTTATTTAGAATATTTTATTTCTCGACATATTGGTATGTAGGTCAAACTTGCCACTAAATTCCTTTCGCCTTAGTTAGTCACGGAATGAGGTCATTCAAATAGGGTGTCACATGCACTATCTCGTGTATAGAAATTGACAGTGACCCTACACTGACAATTCAGGTGATTTTTTTAAGGATGCGATATGCCTTATTTTAAAATCAGTGTGGCCTACAGTCACGTGCGTAGCACCTGCAGCCTGAGAAGAATGGCATTGTTGTATTTCGTATCCATTGCCATGTTTTCTCAGCCTGATATTAAGATTTACTTAAGAGATTGATACTGAAGATTAAGATATAAGATTGCTATAGTACGATTTACTTGATCAAGATTTAATGAAAGATTTGTTGATCTTCATGTTTTCCAGTAAAAATGCTTATGTCACCAGTGGGACTGCAGCTAGCCTAGGGACTTACAACGCTAAAATTCGGGTTTCGATTCCCTCGCGGTGGGCACAAAAATAAGCAAGCAAACCTTTGCTTATTTGTTGTAGATTAAAGCCGCATTGGGTTATCTGCTGTGTCCACCGTTGTGGAATCGAATCCCGGATTTTAGCTTTGTAATTTCGTAAGTTTACCACTTTTCCACTGGAGAGGGGCCGACATGGCCAGGTGGTTAGGGCACTTGACTCGCAATCTGAGGGTTGCGGGTTTGAATCCCTGTCCTACCAAATATGCTCACCCTTTCAGCTGTGGGGGCGTTATAATGTGATGGTCAGTTCCACTATTCGTAGGTAAAAGAGTAGCCCAAGAGTTGGCGGTAGATGGTGATGACTTGCTTCCTTCCCTCTAGTCTTACACTGCTAAATTAGAGACGGCTAGCGCAGATAGCCCTCGTGTAGCTTTGTCCAAAATTCATAAAACAAACAAACCCACTATTATTTCAATCCTTGATTCAGTGTCGAAAGTAAGAAGGTTCAGGCCAGACGGCGTACCAGTAAGAATTTTATTGCTGGTATGCCATATCGGTAAATTATTTTGTCTAGGTAATTTTAAGTTTTAACTTACCATAATGGTTTTTACCGATACCTTTGGGTGCCAAGTTACATTGTTATAAAAAATACAACGCTTCAGGCTCCACTCCCAATCAGGTGGAGAGCATGCGCGTGATTTATATATTATTTTTGATTCTTTTCCTACCTAAAAAAAATTCAAATCGAGCTTATATGAACTCCCCCCCCCCTATCTCTATCAAATTGAAGTATCTGTCTCTTCTCTGTATTAAAATGAAGTATCTGTTAGTATTAGTGTGTATATTCAAATATTGAAGTTCGGTCCGTATGACTTTGCAGTGTTGATTTTCGTAAAATGTGGGGTGGGGAGGGGAAGCTAAGCAAACTCTACTACCTTATCGGAAATGAATTAAATGCTGCCTTGATTGTTGTTTACTGAAAGTACAGAGTTTCCACTGTCGTTAACTTATGTCCAGTTTATTTCCTTCGGATAAGCCCCCCCCCCCCAGTGGCACAGCGGTATGTCTGCGGACTTACAACGCTAGAAACCGGGTTTCAAAACCCATGGTGGGCAGAGCACAGATAGCCCTTTGTGCATAATTAAAAACAAACAACCTTCGGATAAATTCGGATTTTCGTTCAGCAAAACATCTTTGGCGAACCTCTTGTTTTTTCCTACGGTTTCTGCCCGGCATGGCCAGGTGGTTAGGGCGCTCGACTCGCAATTTGCGGGTTGCGGGTTCGAATCCCCGTCACACCAACCCCGCCCGCCCCTTCATCCGTGAGGACGCTCCAATGTGCCGTTCAATCCCTTTATTCGTTGCCACAAGTAAAGTCCACGCGTT